TATTATTCACCCATTTTATGTGGAGCAAATTCCATGGTATTTGGCCATGTGGTTGCCCTCAAGGCTTTGTGGGGGAAACTGTGAAAATTGAAATAGATGCCTGGTGGATCTGAAATATGCTTGATAATTGAGCTGCAATTTTGTAGAATAGTGTGCTTGAGCTCGAGAAGTGTTTCCTGATCCTGTTTGAGGTAGTCCCAATAACAGTAGTTGGGAACCTCTGGATATTTTGGACCAATTCCTGGAAGCCCCAGTCACCAGGGCTGCTGGTAGGAAGAGACTGTGGAAGCACTAGTCCAGAATATCTGGAGAACAGCAAGGAGAAAAAAGACTTTTTAGACTACATTTCCCAGAACTTCCCAGCTACCGTGCTCACTGCCCCCTTGCCCTGGGGATTCTGGGAGTTTAGCAACCATTCTAATCTGTGCTAGAGAGCACAAGGGATCCCACCCCTCCTTAACAACTGGGTGGTCTCCAGAAAGAGCATATGAGTTATGGAGTCTCTGCCCAGGGGGCTTCACAACATTTGGGGAAGGGGTAGTAGGGAAAGTAATTGGGAGGTGGTTGAGGTTACAGCTGATCAGACTTAATGGCAGGACTGAGGGTTAAAGGGCAGATTAACGCAGAGCTTTGTATTCTTCTGGCCTTTTCCTCCCCAGGGCCCAGTGACCCTCTTCTGTGTCCTGGAGGTGGAGGGAACGCCAGTTCCCGTCCTTGCATCCCTGGAGGAAGGAGAGAGGGGAATATCCCATCGTGTGCAGTGTCTGCCCCATGCCTACAGCTACACTCAACCTGTCCCAGAGCTACATGTTCCTCTCTACGTCACGGTGGGAGGTGACCAACGCCTTGACAGCCGCGGAGATCTGCACGGTAAGGGATGGCATAGAGTGGTTATATTTTCGATGCTGTGAACTGGCCTGTGTGTGAGCTGAAGTACTAAAGCAGGGCAGGATGCAACTTTGAATTGCATGAGAATTTAAGTTTAAAGATAAAAGCAAGTGTTTAGGTTCAGTGGCTATAAAGATACACCTGAAAGTATGCAGACAGTTTCTGATGGTATTCTAAAAGCTCAGGGGGAGAGAGATTTCCATTGTTTGGGGCACAGGGTGCTCTGTGTGTACCTGTGCATACTGTACTTGTCTGCCTGTTCCCATATTACTGAAGCCGTTTAGTATGCATAGCAGCAGACACTGCATACTAAAGGATCACTTTAAAAATGTGCAGAGTCTATGGAGCAGTACATACGAATTTGGGTGCAGAAGTGTTAACTTATGTAACGCAAAGGTCCACTGAAGCTTGAGTATGCCTTCTGGCTGCTGCTACCCCAGCTTCATTACCATTTACAGTCAGAAAGGACAGCCGTCTGGCATCTCCCAGCTCTCCATGGGTAGGGATGAGTTGTGTCTGGGACAGAAAAGGGGGGGGGGAGTCTCACCAGCCTGGTTTAAATGTAGCCTTCACCCGCCTGATCTTTTGCTTTTCCACCCTGTCTCGCCCCATTAGTGACTTTGTACGATTGCTCTGCTGGCCGTTCCGATTGCAGCCGCTGCAAGGCCGCCCCCCAGAATTTCCGCTGCATCTGGTGCCAGCGGGGAGAGGCACCGGGTTGCATCCATGAAGAACTGTGCCCCTCAAAAAGTGGCATGGCCGCTTGCCCGTCGCCAGTCATTCACTCGGTGAGAATCGATACAGTTGGTCTCGCTAGTCTAATTGCCTACCCATCCAATGGGGGGGGCACATGGGGGGTGGAGGGAAGGGTCTTCTCCCTTTCCCAAGTTTGTGTATAGAGTGTGAGCTGGGAAGCAAACCCAGACCTAGCTGTACAAACTTGGAGACCAGAGTCTAAGCTATTTCACTTCAGGTCTCAGGCAGGACTTCACCTTGACATCTAGTGTTCTGTATTCAAGGTTTGGGTTGGGGCTTCCTTGTATGAAGGGAGTGTTCATGAAACTTGATCTTCTCCTTAAAATCAGAGGTTGTACAACCTATGCATAAGTTTACCATTGAGAACTGGGCCTTGACTGGTGTGTGTGTGTGTGTGTGTGTGTGTGTGTGTGTGTGTGTGTGTGTGTGTGTGTGTGTGTGTGTGTGTGTGCGTGCGTGCGTGCGTGCGTGCGTGCGCGCGCGCGCGGGTGGGCGGGCATAACTACTGTTTTCCCATTCTCTCAAGTGTCTGGTGAAATAGGCTGCTGTCTGCACAAGCTCTCATAGTGAACTAGATCCTGCATAACGCAGAGAAGATAGATTGGGATCAACTGGTAGATCTCTGGAGATTTACAGTAGATGAGCGAAGATTTCTGTAATTCCTAATGATCAGCAAAATACAGGGAATGTCCAGGAGTGGATTTTTGTGTGACAAAATTTGTGAACTGGACTGATCACAACTTCTTCACCAGATAATATACTCAGAAGTAGCCTTGTTCCTTAATTCTTCACACATATCTTTCTGCTTATACCTTTTTTTAAAAATCTTAGCTTTGGTTAGTACCTCAGAGTACTTGCATTTTAAAAGCTGTAGATCCTGCTAGCCTAACATTTGTCCAGCCTTTTATAATGCCCAATTTGTATTTTTATTTTGTGGAAAAACCAGCTAGCTGAGAGCTTTACCTGCTGTATTCTTCTTTACTAGATCTATCCCCTCAGTGGACCCTTGGAGGGAGGTGTCTCTCTCACGGTGGTCGGATCCAACCTGGGTCATCGCTTTGAGGATGTCGCCCAAACCGTGAAGGTTGCTGGACTACCATGTGTTCCTGATCCAGCCCTTTACCTAGTGTCTACTCGGTAAGGGGTCCTCTAACAAATGGGTCTACTTATTTTTGTTTGTGGTAGCCAGTTACAGCATTGTCTCCACCAGGGTAGAGAAAATTTGGCCCTTCAGAAGGTTTTCCTTAAAACTCCAATCGGGTCCAAACAGCAGGGCCAGAGGGAAGGGTTGGTTTAAAACCTCTGGAGGGTCAACATTCCCCATCTCAGTGACTCTCATGTTCCATGAAGGGGTATTTTTGTGTTTATATCATGAATCTACTGGCAATCAACTTCTGTGTTTTCTCCTTTTATTATATTATATTTGGTCATTTCCAAATTTAAAAACTCCAGATATGTTGTCTTTTCCTTTTAAAGAAGAACTTCTAGTACTATGTTTCCCTAATGACCCCCAATGGCGTGGCAAAGTGTTTTCTGGGGTGTGTGTCACAGGACACCTATTTGTTATAGAGCTCTTGTTAGATAATTTATTCCTTGACCTTCTGGTGCAGGATGTTAAAGTTAGTGTGTCTAAGTGTATGTTTAAGAAACAGGCCCTTTAGGAGGAGAAAGAAACCTCTACTTTCTGGGAAGGGAGGATTTTACCCCATGAAAGATATTATGCAAATATGATGTGGGGGTCACAAGTCGCTTGGCTATTATAAAAGGGGCTCATGACTCAAAAAAGGGTGTGAACCATTTTTCTAGGGTTTCTGAAGACCTGTCATGTGTGTGCCATCCCTTCACATCATCCCTGTGAGACAGGCCCCTAATAATTCTTCCATTTTTTTCAAGAGAAGGTCTGGGAATAAAACTGAACATTTGTCCTGGAGCCACAGACCAAGCCTGTAGCTTTAACCCCTCATGTCCAATTTGAATTCATTAACCACAGCAGATCAAAAGCATAATAAATCCACCTTTCTCTGATATTGTAATGCAAGGATGAGTGATCTCATCATAGGCATCCTTCAGTCTCGAGAGACTATGGTAACATGCTCTGAATCGAGGAGTGTTCTCTCCAGAGCATGAAGCCTGAGTAAAGTTATATGGAGGATAGGCTGTTACCCAAGCAGCAGATCCCCCCTCTCCACGTTGCTCAGCAAGAGTGGATACCATTATTCAAATTTGCTGGCAGCTTGCAAGAAGGTCCAATTTGAATTCATTAACCACAGCAGATCAAAAGCATAATAAATCCACCTTTCTCTGATATTTTAATGCAAGGATGAGTGATCTCAGCAAGAGTGGATACCATTATTCAAATTTGCTGGCAGCTTGCAAGAAGTAGGGATAGGGATATAAAATGTCTAATTTGAACATTGATTTTTTTAATTAAAAAAAAACAATGCAGCATTAATGTACTCTACAAGTTGCTACAGTGATTTAATCGGAAAATTTATTTAACTGAAAAACATTTCTGCAATCTGATGGTCAAGTAGTTTTAAAAAATAATAATAATTTGAAGTATGGGGGCACTTGAATTTTCAAAACATGGCAAAATTGTCCCATGCCCACAGAGGGCACTAAAGATTTTTTTTAATAAAGTTTTTTTTGTCCAGGGATTCCCAAGGGTGCTAGAGGCTACATGCAGCCTGTAGACTTCATTTTTCCCATGGCAGCTTTATGATACTGATTGGCACAAGTGCTAGCAACTTTGCAACAGCGTGCTTGGAATTTTGACAAAAACTGGCAGGCGTTGTGCAAGCTCCCCGATAATCCGTCCTGTCTGCCATTCCCTTCAGGATTGTGTGCGATGTCTCCCCTGGAAGGCGAGGATTATCTGGCCCCGTTGAGATCACTGTAGGAGACCGTCCACCAGGAGTTTCTGTGAGCCACTTCACCTATCAGGTCAGTGATCGAACAAGGACAAAGTGAGTGTAAGACTGTCCTAAGGCAGGTCTAGAGGAAGCCTTGGCTTTGGAACTAGGGAGCGGGAGAGCAGAGGTAGGCGTGTTTTTCTTCCCCTGATTCCATGATACTGACTTTTTCCTGCATCACTGTCAGTACCAACAGGGTGGTGAGTGAGCTTAGAAGAAGGTGAGGTCCAGTTCTGAGGGCAGGGCTGGCTGTACCATTAGGCAGAATGAGGCAGGTGCCAAATTCTGAGCGTCATGACAAGGCGGCGTATTGCTAGGTATTTAATGCATGGCGGTTGCTTCTTTTACTGCCAGGGATGGTAGAGGCAGGGAGGCGTTCATAGAATGTTGTGCCTCGGGTGCCAAAACACTTTGGCTAGCTTTGGATATATATGTGCTTTTGACTTGGGCGGGCAATTGGCCTTTCCAAATGTCTTGGGCTGGCCTTGGGAACTGCCTGCCACCCTAATCTGTGCTTGTCTCCCCAGGACCCCACCCTTCTTGATCTGCACCCCAAGCTTGGCCCCATGGTTGGAGGTACCCGCATCACCATCATTGGGGAGGAGCTTCTGACGGGCACTGAAATTGCTGCCTATGTGGGAGAACTGCCTTGCATCCTGTGAGTGGGAATGGCCTTTCTTTCTTTCTTTCTTTCTTTCTTTCTTTCTTTCTTTCTTTCTTTCTTTCTTTCTTTCTTTCTTTCTTTCTTTCTTTCTTTCTTTCTTTCTTTCTTTCTCTCTTTCTCTCTTTCTTTCTTTCTTTCTTTCTTTCTTTTTTTTTTCTGTGTGTGTGTGTGTTTGTAGTCTTAATCCAAGCTTTCATTTGATCTTGTTGCTGTCTCTCACCCAACAGCAAGGAACCTGTGGAACCAGATGCCATCGTGTGCCTCACCAGCGCCAGTTCCAAACCCCAGCAAGCATCAGTCTGGGTCCAGTATGGTGGGGTTCGACGCCAACTCCAGGGGAAGCCCTTCCTTTATACACCCAACCCCCAGCTCACAGGGGCTTTCCCTTCGACCAGCTTCCATGGGTAAAAGGCTACCGGGCAGGGAGAGCAGTGACATATGTTGCCTAATTAAAGAAATAGTTGTTACTGTAATTGGTCTGTGATAACCTGCATGACTTAGAACAATAACTGTGCAGGGAAAAAAAGCATAGATGCTTGTGTTATAGCAAACACTGTCTTAAAAAAGACATTTTCTCCTGTGTGTGTGAGAAAAGAGGGGCTGCCGTATCTAATATGATTCCTGTTTTCAGGTTTTATAAACATTGTAATTGAAAATAATTGTAAAACCTGTAAGCCTGTGGTTGGGGGCATCTTTTATACCAGAGACAAAAAAAAACCTATGCCTCCCCCAAGGATTGCTTAACTACAACTCTCATAATCTCTTACCATTGGCCAAATCTGTAAGGGCTGATGAAAAATGTAATCTAACCACATCTGGGGGCCCCCACAGCTTCCTGATTCCTGTTTTACAGTCAAGAAGCATCTTTTCAGTTATTCAGCTTATTTAACGAACTGAACACTGCATCAGTAGTGTTACAAATCTTTATGTACATGGAAAGATATGGCAGGTCCTTGCCCCGGGAGCCTACAGTCTGGCATACCAAATGAGATATGTCCTATATACAAATAATCTTGAGGGTTGCTTACCTATAAAGATAGTGCTGCTAGAAGGAAGGGGAACAAGTCATATCAGGATTGTGGCCTGCAGGGAGAGAGGAAGAGTTTCACTTTTCTTCCCTCTGCCCTTCCAATCCAAATAATTACTAACCTCCCACTCTTATTAGTTACATGTCTTCAAGCCGCTTTCAACTTAACTTGCAAAACCTATTTGGGTTGGCGTATGGGAGATGTTCAAGGAGTGGTTCACCACTGCCCACCCTCCAGTCAGTTTCCGTGACCAGGTGGGAATTTGAGCCCAGGTTACCTGAGTCCTAGCCCATTGTTCTATTACACCACTAGGCACAGGATGTTCAGATATTTCTTTTTTCAATACAGCTCCCAGAATTCACCAGGGGCTGCCCCAGCCTGTCTTCTGATCGCCGTAGTGAAAAATCAAAGCCGCACACCTGTACATCACTCAAGCCCCCCACTCCCAAATCACCTATTAATTAAAACAAGAACAAAACAACCCGTCAAAGGTGTTGAAGATGAGTGGGTGGGAATTTCCACACAAAAGGGCCAGCAGGGGAAGCCAAACCGATGTAGGAGACGTTGGGATGGCTGAGATTGTGAGGGAAAGGAAGAATTAACAGCGAAACAAAGCTGATGAGAACTTCAGAAGAGGGGGACAGAGTTCGGATTATGCCAGGGTGTACAGGGAGCAGAGTGCCGCTTTCCTTAACCAGGTGTCCTGCTGATGTATCGGCTTGTAACTCCACAAATCCGAAAGCCAACGATTGTGCTGCATAACTCAGCTCAGGAATTCTGAGATTTGCAGCCCCTTTTGTCTGGAGATTTCGAGGGTTTAGTTAGGCCTGGCCCTGTGCCTGCAGCAAACTGATGGCTGGCATAAGGGCATGATGCAGGCCTGTCCCTGTTGCTGTAGCCACTTCTCACCTTCTTGGATGCTCGGATTCCCCAGGGGTGGACGGATCATCCACGTGGAAGGCACCCATTTGGACGTGGTGCAGGAGCCACTCATCAAAGCTCTTCTGGAGCCGGAGAAGACAGTCAGTAGAGGCCGCCGGAAAAGACGAGCCTGTGACTCCCTAAAGGGTTCACTGGTCCCACTGATCTCAGCTCCCTCACGCCCTTGTGCTGAGGTGGGAGACTTGCTGGAGGTGAGTGCAGGCAGGGGGAAGAAAACATTTGGACTTCGGGGACGGGGGCAGTTCTTGAAACTTTCTCACCGGCTGCTGCGCTTCCTCACAAACCCTTGGTCTTCTCTCTTCACAGTGCTGGGAAACGTGCTGCATCAATTCATCCACGCTTCTTCTCTGCCCGTCACCGGCAGTGCCACCTGGCGCTCGCTTCCGCCACCTTCTTTTTGAGTTGGATGGGCTCCGTGTCCCTTTTAGCAACGCTAGCCGAGGTCAGGAGTTCTCCTACAACCCTAATCCCCACCTGCGCTGGCCAGGTCGGGAGTCCACTGGGCGTCCTTTTAGTCTCAAACCTGGCAACATTTTGGATATAGAGGTGAGTGGAAGAGTGGGGAGGCAGACTCAGGACAGCAGCGACGCCCTGAAAATGGGGGAACAGCCTCATGTGTTTCTTAGAACAATGATACTTTGTAAAATGGTTGGCATGAAAGTAGGGGGAGGGGAGGCAAAATATTATGTCACTTTAATGGATCAAAAGGTTTTGTGGATCAAAATCCCCTTTTTTCAGACACAATAGAAGTAAATCATACTGAAATAAGGCTGTTGGTTTTTCAAATGCTACAATATTATGTGTTTTTTTTAATTTCCTTTTCCCCCTTTAATTTTGCTGGTATCCTGTGATAGACTAACACTCTTACTAAACAGAACACTTTACTATTGTGGAAATTATCGGTACTCATCTCACTTCCATCTACCCTGATCCCTCCTGAGCTATATACTGTACACTCTATTATACTTCCCACCAAAGTGATGGCCCCTCCCCTTGAATTTATTGAAAGTGCAGTAGAGGTAACTCCTCCTCACTGAGGTGCATTGACAACTCCCGTACATTGGACATCAGGTTGGGGAAAGCTGGCTTTGTATTTCCATCACAGTGTAAAAGTAAAAACTAAAGGGCTGTAAGTTAATGTTAGCATAATGTTGCTTTAGTTTCTACATGCATGCAAGAAATTATACCTCTGACTTGTTTTCCCTTCTGTGCCCCTACAGGGAGAAGGCTTGAACCTTGGCATCAGCAAGAATGAGGTTAAGGTTATCATCGGCAACAGCATCTGTACTGTCAAGACCCTCACACGTACCAATTTGTACTGTGAACCCCCGCTGAAGCCCCCACAACCACTTAATGCTTCTTCTGTGCTGCCAGAATTCATTGTGAGTATCAAGAAATGAGTTAATGGGAATGGATATATATTTTGGATGATGATGATGATGATGATAGTGTGCCAGTAAGCCAGTTCTGACTTATGATGACCCCTTTCAGGGTTTTCCAGATACTCAGAAGTGGTTTACCATTCCTTTCTTCTGGGGGCGCCCTGGGACTCTGTCATCTTGTCCAAAGCCATGCAGGTTGGCTCTTCTCCCACTGCAGCCAGAGACCTAACTCACTGAGCTATTCATCCTCACTGAGCTATCCAGTGTATACAGAAATTAGATGTGGTCCTACTCAGCCCCTCACAGCTGTTTCTCCATGTAGGAGAAGTTCTCCCCTGAAAAATTGTGAAGGTTTTCAAAGTAGTCATAGATGTTGTGTGGGTGAAACTCTCTCTTGGTAGGCACACAACTTCCATCAAGTATACAAGCAACACCCTTGTAGTTTTCATAATGACAAATGATGCCATCATCACCATTGCTGCTGCAGGCCAGGTTTCTCACTCCACCCATGAAGCAGGCACAGAAACTGCAGTTCTGCACAATACAAATGGCCGTGGACTTACATTTGTCTTCACTGTCATCCTTTCTTTCTTTTAAATGTAGTTTTATTGTTTGGTGGTGGTGATGCAGCCCACTTTGTGTAATGAGAAACAGCACTGAAACGTTTGTTAGTAGTTAATATTTTTGGGGTGGTATAGAGAGTCCCAACATCTTTGTCTGTGCTACACAGAGAAAACTGTAGTTCCCTAGGAAGAGGACTGTTAAATAGATCTCTGTGTGTTGTGACAATATATCCTTAGAGATACAACCCTTTCAGTAAATACAAAGGGAATAAGGAACTGAGTTGTGTGGTCCTCTGTCCGGCTCCTTTCTTTTCCTGATCCAGGCCAAATTATCTGATGGAAGTTTGGGATTAGGATTACTAAACCCAGGGTTTGTGAACTCTGGGCATCATGCAGTCAGGGCATAGTTGGTATGGTGCTCAGTGCCCAGAGCAACCCTAAGGTTAACTTAGAGAGTGATTACATGGGCATTTAGCCCACTGTTTGATCAGCTGCGGGGATAGGCTGATTGCTCCTAAAGATGGCAATCAGATGACGTATTTGCTGGAGTGAACCAGCCTGCCCCCAGAGTGTTCCTACCCAAAGCTTTTTCCTTTTTTTGGTGCAGATGGGATTGCTCTATTTTGGTTCATTTCGAGCACATGCAATCTCTGGGATCAGACCAAAGTGACCTTCCTGCTTTAATATGCCAGCTGGTTTCAATGTCCGATTATCATTACTGGACCTTTAAGAGAAGGGCAAACAGAAATCATATATATATATATAATCATATATATATATAAACTTTTTTTGTTTTTGTTTACTATGCTGGGGCAACATACTATGCACCACTTATATATGTGCTCGAAATGAACCAAAATAGAGCAATCCCATCTGCACCAAAAAAAGGAAAAAAGCTTTGGGTAGGAACACTCTGGGGGCAGGCTGGTTCACTCCAGCAAATATGTCTGATTGCCATCATTAGGCTTGAAACAGCCCATCCATACAGCTGACCAAACCAGCAGGATGAATGCCATTCAGTCAACCTCATAGATGTGTCTACTAGTCTTGCTAATGGCAGACCCTATCAAAGTGTTTCCAGGTCTTCGGGTGGAACTGAAGTCTCAGAAGACTGTTGTGCTTCTCTGAACTTCCACGCACAGTCAGAATATTGGCAAGTTGACAGTGGGCTGATGCGGACTGAATAGGGTTGCAAGGATCACACCAAATGGCATATTGGAACTCCTAGAAATCCTGTTTACCCTGCACCAGCCCATTCCAGCCAAGCTGTGTAGCCAAGCCCTTACAAATAGCAAAAATTCATCCCAGGATTCTAAACTCCACTCCCACATGTCCTTTCCCCCCAACACCCCATTTAAAGGCAGCCACTGTGTTTGCATCCGTGCACATGCAACTTTAGTTATTTTGGGATGTGAACTGTTTTGGGGTCACGAGAGCAAGCACCAATATTCCAGGTCATGCAGCAAAGACTGGAATCCTTTCTTGGAGCTGCCCAATCTTTGTCCAGCCCTTGTGAAGCATTATTCCACAGTGCTTTTATATGATAATTAAAAGCAAGCCCGCACACACATATACAAAAATGTGCTTCAGATACTTCGGGAAGAAAGAGAAACTGGGTGCTCGAACTGGACTTGCAGAAAAAGCTGTCCTCCCCCACTCCATTCCCCACTCCCCGCAGTGATCTTTTAATAGGGTTTGGTATAATAAAATCAAACTGTGGCTATGTGTCATACACATATTTATTATTATATTATTCATACACACTTATATTCAGGCTCATTGGGCAGAAATAATGAGTAGCACATAGACTGCCAGACTGCTACAGAAACAAAGGGGAATGAAACCACTAACGCAGGTCCTGGTGAAGGCAGATGTTTCTTTTATAGTAGAAAGACTACTGTATGTGACGTAAGCTCTTGCCCTATACAGTTAGGCTTCCAGCCCTGACCTGGCTCCTTTTGCTACCACTTTTTCCCATATTGAAAACCAGGAGGCAGAAGGTGCTCACTACTGAATCTTCTCTTATTCTCCCCTTTCAGCTATGGATGGGTATTGGCAAGATTAGAGAGTGTAGACTAGGCGAGCCTTTCCAGGCCTGGCAGGCCGGCTGCCTTGGGGTGTTTTTCACCAATCATTCTGGGGGACATCAGGTTGAGAAGGCTGACCTGAAGGATTAACTTGAGTAAGTTAGTAGGGAGTCTCCAGTTCTTCAGCCTGGTGTAGCCATGTGTATATTGGAACATAAGAAGCTGCCACCATATAGTGAGTCCATCTTAACCCAGCATTGGCAGCTCTGATTGGCAGCAGTCGCTGTCTAAGATTTCAGGCAGGAGTCTTTCCTGGGCCAGCTTGGAGGTCCCTGGTGGCCTCCCATCCAAATACTGACAAGTCTAGCTGGACTGAACTTTAACAGGCAGACAAAATTCGGGGTGTTGAAGCTGATACAGTGTTTCTTGTGGCAGTCCAGTTCTGCTGACCACTTAGGCCTCACCTACACAGCCTTTCATGTATCAGTGGAAGAAGAAGGGATTGGCTTCCATAGGCCTACGTTCCAACTGATTATTTATTTATTTATTTATTTATTTATTTATTTATTTATAGCTTGTGAGGTGGCCCAAGACTTAGTTGTTGTTGTTTTTGTTGCTACAGACAGTCATGCCTGTTTCCTTAGAATCTGCCTTTTGCTGTTTCGCTGTCTCGCTGCAGGTACAAATGGGAAACTTACGTCTGGATCTTGGCCGGGTTCGCTATGACACAGAGCCCCCATCCCGTTTCCCCCCTGAGGCCCAAATTGGGTTAGGGGTGGGGGCAGCAGTGCTGGTCTTTGTGGTGTTGCTCCTCATCCTGATGTACAGGTAAGCACACATGGTGATTATTTGAGAGGGGGAGGGATACGTGGAGAGAGGCAACATTCTTGCCTTTTCTTTTCCCTCCACCTTTGCCACTACAGTGGGGTCTCTACTTAAGAACGTCCCTACTTAAGAACAATCCAACTTAAGAACAGCTCCATTTGCTAAATTTTGACTTAGGCCTCACCTACACAGCCTTTCATGTATCAGTGGAAGAAGAAGGGATTGGCTTCCATAGGCCTACGTTCCAACTGATTATTTATTTATTTATTTATTTATTTATTTATTTATTTATAGCTTGTGAGGTGGCCCAAGACTTAGTTGTTGCTGTTTTTTGTTGCTACGGACAGTCATGCCTGTTTCCTTAGAATCTGCCTTTTGCTGTTTCGCTGTCTCGCTGCAGGTACAAATGGGAAACTTACGTCTGGATCTTGGCCGGGTTCGCTATGACACAGAGCCCCCATCCCGTTTCCCCCCTGAGGCCCAAATTGGGTTAGGGGTGGGGGCAGCAGTGCTGGTCTTTGTGGTGTTGCTCCTCATCCTGATGTACAGGTAAGCACACATGGTGATTATTTTATTTGAGAGGGGATACGTGGAGAGAGGCAACTTTCTTGCCTTTTCTTTTCCCTCCGCCTTTGCCACTACATAGAACTCCGTGGTATCTCTCTTCTTCCCCTTCCTGCCAGGCGGAAGAACTCCGTGGTATCTCTTCTTCCCCTTCCTGCCAGGCGGAAGAGCAAGCAAGCCTTGAGGGACTACAAAAAAGTGTTGGTACAGCTGGAGAACATGGAGATCAGCGTGGGGGACCAGTGCCGCAAGGAATTCACTGGTAGGAAATGGGAATGGGGTTTGCCTAGCCTTTCCCAACCTGAGAAGCGCCAGATGTGTCAGAACGCCATTATCTCTCTATTCCCCCCCCCATGGGAGATGTTGGAAGTTGTCTACTCCAAGCTATCTGAGGGGCAAAATGTATATATATGAATGGCTGGATGTTGTTCGCTCCCCTGTTCTTCCTCATCCGTTCTTGTCCTTTTCACCTCTTCTCTTCCTTCAAACCCAAACCCTCTGCTTGCTGCAGATCTAATGACAGAAATGACTGACCTCAGCGGGGAGCTGGAGGGCTCCGGGATCCCATTCCTGGACTACAATACCTACACCCAGCGTGTCTTCTTCCCGGCTCAGGGAGATGTTCCGCTGCGGCGTACGCTGGACCTGCCGGAGGGCCGCCGGGCCACCGTGGAGCAGGGCCTGGGGCAGCTTTCCAATCTGCTGAATAGCAAAGTCTTCCTGCTGACGGTGGGCCCTCTGGGGAAGAGGAGAGGGTTGATTCTGGGGAAACAGCTAGGATGAAGGGATATATTTTCTGACAGTTTGGGGAGCTGGGACAGATTGTCCTCTTGAAGTGGCAAGATTGAAGCTTGTGATTTATGTCAATAGGTGTATGTGGTTATTTGTCTCCATAGGTGTATTTGTGTCTATTGGTGTATGTATGAATGGGGTGCCGGGTTACTACCTAGAGAGCTGTCCTGTCACCTTAAAAAAGTTCTAAATGGGTGGGAGACAAGCTTGCTGGCTGTAGTGTGAAGATCAGAAATGTCTAGCCCTCAAGATGTTGTTGGACTGCACCCCCCATCAGCCTTTGCTGGCATAGCCAGTGGTGAAGAATGATGGGACTTTCAATCAGACAACTCAGGGGAGGGGCACATGTTCCCCATCCCTTCTGAAAAGGATGCAGCTTAAGTCCCTCAGGGCAGTGGGTGGAAGGAGAGAGAGAGAGAGAGAGAGAGAGAGAGAGAGAGAGAGAGGAGGAGGAGGACCTGACTTTAAGGGGAAATCTGTTGCTGAATGCCTCCTCCTTCATTGGATTTGGAAACAGAAAGTATAAGTCCAATATAATTTGGAACTTTATAGAGGGTGGTGGGGAACATGTTTTTGTCTAGAGAGTGTCAGCCTGCTCTTCGCATCAGCCCCAGCCAGTACAGCTAATTGTGATGAATGGGTGGGAATTGCAGCCCAAGACCAGGGATATCCCCACCCCTGCCCTAGATGTACGTATGTGTGGTCCATGTTCAAGCGGGTTTTGCTCTGCTCTGCAAATGGCCAAAGGCACAGACTTGCCCCAAGTTATGTTTCCAACTGTGTGAAAGGATTGATACTGAACAGCCTTTAGTGCAAGATTTTCAAATACTTGAAAGGTTCTCAATCATTCCAGAGTGTAGGATACCTAATGGGCTCAAGCTACAGAAAGCCAGATTTAGACTGAATGTCAGGAAAAATGTCTTAACTATTAGAGTAATATGGCGCTGAAACCAGTTGCCTCGAGAGGTGGTAAGCACTCCTGCACTGGAGGCGTTTGAGAGAAAATTGGGCAGCCGTCTGTCAGATTTGATTTTAATTCCTGCATTGAGCAGGGGGTTGGACTTTTAGGCATCTTCTAACTCAGTTCTTCTTTCCCTTTCCGCCACCCAGTTGATCCGAACGCTAGAAGTGCAGCCCACCTTCTCGCAGAGGGATCGATGCCACACAGCCTCACTCCTCTCTTTGGCTCTTCACGGGCGCCTGGAGTACCTGACGGACATCATGCAGACCCTGCTGAGTGATCTCGCTGCCCACTGCGTTTCCCGCAATGCCAAGCTCATGCTGCGCAGGTAGGGCCCAAGGGTTTCAGGGGCTTGGCTTGCCAGTGTCAGAGGAACCGTTGTGGGGGTGCTGGAGATAAAAGCGTGAAAGATTATTGGGTGGGAAGAGATGTCTTTGTTCCAATATGTTTTCAGTAGCTATTTATGCCACCGTTTGCAAAGGGGTTCCCTCTTGGCAGAAACAAGAATTCTTGCCAAACAGCAAGAATTTTATTTTCCTGTCCAGAATTGATCCTGTGGTTGGCTGACAAACAGGTATCAAAGCAGATAAGATTTTTTTACTGATACATAAGTCTTAATGAAACTCACAAATAGCAAAACAAGCAAACAAAGAAAAACCCTAACAGTACAATATATTTTTTAATCCCCCCAAAACTTTGGTTTTTTTATAAAAGTGCCCCAATCTCTTTCCTCCTGTCTAAATTTATATATGAAGGATTTAATTATAAGCAGAAGCTATTTCCCTGAGTTTAGGATTAAATTTTCTGCATGTGCCCAAAGGCATACTTTTGTCACCCTGATTTTATTTTTTGTGGGGAACAGTCTTTTGTCAATCCGAAGAATTGATCTGTATAAGATAACCAGAAGTGTTGATGTCAGAATCATTCTACTGAAACACTACTTCTTAAACCCCATATCTGATTTGCAAAACAGAGTTTTCAGGTACTGTGGGCAATTCATACGCTAGCATCTCATGTGAACAGAGGGTGAATGGCCCCATTCTAGGTTGAAGCTGGAGGGAAGGACCAGATCTCACTGAAGCAATTGTATTTATCTCCAAAACAAATCTGCAGGACAGAGACCATTGTGGAGAAACTCCTGACCAATTGGATGTCCATCTGTCTCTACTCTTATCTTAGGGTAAGCTCTGCTGTGTTATCTGGATTGTGTGTGTTTAGCTCCAAGTTAGGTCTGTGCACGTGCATACAGGGGAGAGGAGATAGACAGAGACAAAGTCTGATCAAATATAAAAATTGTGGTACAAGGAGAACAGGCTCAGCCCTGCCTAATTGATGCCTTAAGACACTTTTACTAGTGTTTCCTCTCTTATTTACTGTTCTTGCCTACATGTTGAGGCTTCATGGGGGAGGTTCTTGATAAACCCTGTTTTCTCACAACTGTGTCAGCCAGAACTTACCTGAGAAATATGGGTGCTCTAAAGAAGGAAAATCTGAACAGCATTCTATCAAACATACCTCTAGAATAGAGTAACAGTCCGCTATTATATAAGTGAATGTTCATTCATGTGATCATTCATTCATGTGTTCATTCATTCACTCATTCATTCATTCCATTTTTACCCTACCTATCCTCAGAATTTGGAGAAGTATATCTGGTTTTCCTGCCCCTAACCAAGCTGTGTGGCTACAAGTTAGGCATTTAGGAGAGTTGGTGTTGTTGGAATTTTGGAGCCGAGGGCTTCATTCTTTCTCTCTCTCTCTCTTCTTCCCCTGGCAAAGGAGGTAGCTGGTGAGCCACTGTACATGCTCTTCCGTGCCATCAAGTACCAGGTGGACAAGGGCCCAGTGGATGTTGTGACAGGCAAGGCCAAACGGACACTGAACGATGGGAGGCTGCTGAGAGAAGACGTGGAGTACCGGCCCCTCACCTTGATGGTTCTGGTGCGGGGGGTTGGCCCTGGTGGTGGGTCCGAGACGCAGCGCATCCCTGCCCGTGTCCTCGACACAGACACCATCACCCAGGTCAAGGAGAAGATCCTGGATCAGGTCTACAAGGGCGTGCCTTTCTCCCAACGCCCCTCTGTGCACACCTTGGACTTAGGTAAGGATTGTCTTCTCTCTTCCCCATCTGGAAGGTTCCAGATCTATTGGGGATGGCTAATTCATCCTTTTATTTTTATTTCTTTTATTTTTGTAATTAAAGGTTAAACAATATACATACAAAACAGGGGAAAAATCATACAATAACTAAATAAACATAGAGACCAATAGAGATCTATTTATTTCAAACCATATCCCTTCCAATATCTATCTATCTATCTATCTATCTATCTATCTATCTATCTATCTATCTATCTATCTATCTATCTATCTATCGGTCGGTCGGTCGGTCGGTCGGTCGGTCGGTCGGTCGGTCGGTCGCGATCGATCTAGATAGACAGATGCATCCGTCCATCCGTCTGGATGGATAGATAGATAGATGGATGGATGAGCGCTATGGGGCGGTATATAAGTCCAATAAATAAATAAATAAATAAATAAAATATCCCTTCCAATATCTATCTGTCTGTCTGTCTGTCTAGCTATCTAGCTATCGGGCGGGCGGGCGATTGCGATCAATCTAGATAGACAGATCTGTCTGTCTGTGTCCGTCTGTCCGTCTGTCCGTCCGTCTGGACGGACGGACGGACGGACGGACGGACTGACAGACAGACAGACAGACAGACAGACAGATAGATAGATAGATAGATAGATAGATAGATAGATAGATAGATAGATAGATAGATAGATAGATAGATAGATAGATAGATAGATAGATAGATAGATAGATAGATAGACTTGTTTGGGTAATTGTCCTTCCTGTTTCAATAATACAACATTCAAGTCTTGCCATATATTGGAAAAATTATTCTCCTTTAGATATAGATAGATAGATAGATAGATAGATAGATAGATATCTTGTTTGGGTAATTGCCCTTCCTGTTTCAGTAATACAAAATTCAAGTCTTGCCATATATTGGAAAAATTATTCTCCTTTAGATATTTAGATTTCTAAATTTTTTTCACAATTTCTAATCTGACTGCCATTATCACATTCATTATTCTTTTTTTTTCTTCTCCCAGTCCTACTGCTAATTCATTCTAAAAGGCTTCATTGTCAAGCTGTGCCGCGTGGTCTTGTTTGGCAGGGGTGGGGTGGGGAATAGCGGTATGTAAAAATAAAGTGTAGGACCCTGATCCGCCATTCCTCCCTTTTTCAGAGTGGCGCTCGGGTGTTGCTGGGCACTTGACGCTTTCTGATGAGGATCTGACATCCGTCACACAGAATCAGTGGAAAAGGCTCAACACTCTACAACATTACAAGGTCTGGGATAAGATGGAACTGGGCTGGAATAAGGTGGAAAGAGGTTATAAACTGACTGAGCAAGAAACATTTCAGCTGCGATAGAGTCCTTTCCATGTCCTGTCTCTGCCAAAAGTTTGGTATACAAGGAGCCGTCTCTTTGTTTTTAACCATAAAAGGAGTCTTTCTGTTTTGAAGAGACTTTCCTGAAGAATTTCTCACTACTTTGGACATGCGTACCCATGTTTGCTTATTGCTTGTTTCTTTCATTTCCTCTTTTCGCCTTCAGGTTCCGGATGGGGCCACCGTTGGCCTCATTCCGCGCCTTCACAATGACATATCCCAAGGTACAGGCCAGAACTTCTTCTCTGGGGAAAGTAAGTCAGTGTCTCTCTCCTCCTCTTTCTCTGCCCTTTCCCCCCAAACCACAGCTGCCTTGGGCTCTTCCTCTTCTTGTGTTTTTCTCTGCCGGATGGCCTTCCACAATGAGTACCCTCTCATAGTTTTGGTTCGGGTTCCCCTCATCCTTAGCCAGCAGCCACCTGAATTTTGGAAGATGGGGCGGGGACATACACTGTTCATCCCAGAGAGTATCAGAGGTGGGGAATACATTTCTAATATGTGAAGGGGCCCTTAAATTAGCTGTCTTAATGTAATAATGGAAAATCTCCAGAGCAAGAGATTGTAAAATTATATGCTTCGAAATCCCTAATTTCAGTTTTTAAAATTTTTCCTCTTTTTCTCATTAATAGCCATGCACTTTGTTGTGGTTAGCTTTTGTATCTTATTTGCATACATATTGTTGTTCCAGTATTGTTTTAGTCTAGCATAAATTGGTATTTGCAGGGCCAGCTCATGGTCCAAGCAGCAGTACAAAGGGCCTTCCCCCTGCTCAGACCAAGGGCCTCCAAACATCTGTGCATGTTTGTGAAGCACTGTGGGAGTGGCCGCAAGGCGTGCAGGGCCAGAAACAGAGAAAATGGTAACCTCAGGGAAGCACAGAAACTATTTGAGTGGAGAGAGAGAGAGAGAGAGTCCCACTCCATGTTGGGCAAAAGCCCTGTTTTTATTTTCATTCCTTCTCTACATGATCTTAGGTTTTCATTTACTGCCGTGATGACCTTGTACTTCTTTGTTTGTTTCTATGGAAACAAAGGAAGGCTTTGTGTCTGTGGAAACAATTGTGATTCCACATTACACAGTTACAGTCTCTGCTTTGTAGGGTAGCCGTTGCTCTGGTACAAACTGCCCCGAAAAAAAAAATTATCTTCTCTTGACCTTTGAGGCTGCAGTGGAGGCTCTGCTTCCTCCTTTCCTATAGGTCTCCATATTATACTTTTCTTCACTGTGAGAGGAAGCCCACTTTGAGGAACCAGAAGCTACTGCAGGTGTCAGGTGCCCACAGAACTTACAATGACATTCAGGGCAGCCTGGTAAAATGGTAAAAATCACATTTTTGCCCATCCTGTCCTATCCTTCTTAGATACCCCAATGCTAGAGGATGGCGAGGAGGGTGGCGTGCACCTTTGGCACCTGGTGAAACCTTCTGAAGAACCTGAGCCCACCAAGCAGCAACAAGACCGGCGCAGCAGCCTCCGAGAGCGTGCCAAGGCTATCCCAGAGATCTACCTCACCCGTTTGCTTTCCATGAAGGTAAAAGAGAGGCCGGTTCACCCACCCCTCAGTCCTCAAATAGGCGAGTTCTCTAAAGCAGTGGCTCCCAGTTTGGGATTCCTGAGTAGCCTATTAAGAGGAGAAGAGAACTAATGAAACACCAGCCTCTCAGCTACCATTTCCTCTCTCCCTCAGGAACCTTCTAGCTTCTGGGGTGTGTTCAAGGTGTACTTTCAGTCTGCATCGGGTCTTCACATAAGGGGCTTGGTCAGAGCTCTGTGGACTTGACTGTGGTTTACAAGTATTTAAAGGAAAACTGTGAAAATGTGCCTTCTTTGTCTCTCAAAAAGCTGTGGACAAAACCCCTCACCTAAAAATGGCTGAGGCAACATGGTAGCCAGAGTGTCAGAGAAATATGACGGCAGAACGGAAGGCAAAAACTCTGAAGTAGAGGATCAGTTCTTACAATGGAGCGATGAACCTGTACTGAGACCTATGCTTTTCTACATAGCCATGAATGATTTGTAGTTGGGGTGAGCAGTGAAGTGGACAGGACTGCTAATGCCATTAAATCATTGAGAGAGATCTAAACAGATAAGGACCAGAAAGAGCTCCAAAGGACTTCCCTCAACTGGAGAAACAGACATTTAAATGACAAATGCAACCCACCGTTCACAAATATGAAGTGATTTTGGGGTCTGTGATGTAACCACAGTATGTAGTCCTGCTGGATGACCACACTTCAAAAAGAGTATTTCAGAGCTGGAGAAGGTCTGGAAAATAGCAACCAAATGATCTGGGTGTGGCGCAAGTACCCTGTCAGAAAACGTTTCAGAGTTTTAGCTTTGAAGAAAGGTTGAGAATGCAGGGAGATGATGGAAAGGTACTAAAGTATGCACAGTTTGAAGGATGTGAATAGGAAGAACTTTTGACCTCTGTTAGAAACCAGAGTCATCCAGTTCAGCTCACATATGTAGTGGGAGATGCAGGACAGGGAAAGGAAGGTGTTTTTCCCCCACATAGTTCTGAAAGAAACCTTGGGATTTGCTACCCTAGGATGTCCCAGTCATGAACTTGGATAGCCTTAGCAGGGCATCAGACAACTTCATGGTGGATTAGACTGTTAATGGTTGCTTGTCAGGAAGGTTACATCCTGTCTCTAGGATCACAGGCAATAGCAATATAAGTAGGGAGGTGGTGCTACGCGTACGACCTGTTCCCCTTAGCTTGTGTTTGGCCAGCGTGAAAACAGATTGCTGGTTTGGTCCAGTAGGACTGCTCTTAGAATAGAATATTTCCCAGGATCTTCTGCAAAACATAGGTTTGCTCAACAAGCAAAGATCTCCTTGAGGGGTGAAGTTTGAAAACTGCTCCTTCAGATGGCCTGATGTATTCGGCAGAAAGCCTTCTCTCTCCCATCCTCCAAAATGATACAGTTGAAAAACAAACTCTGTCATAGGCCCGCACTATTTGGCAGTTCCTGTAGATATTTACCTTGGAACTATACTTAGCTGAACCCTTAGGCTGGATCAGGGCTTTGTTCTGGTGTAATTTGAGAGGTCTAGAGTGGGGCGAAACAAATAGCTATGTATGGACGGCTCCCAAACTAAACAGTAATTGTAGCAGTTGGCAAGAGTTGTTTGTATTTCAGTGACTGAGCAGGTTAAAACTTGTTTGGATTGTCCATGTCTCACCCTACAGCAGTTGGAGACGATCTTTCCAAGCCCCTTAAATCAGTTCATTTTTTTTACTGTTTAAAAAAAAGTCATGATGGCAGTAGACCTGCTTAAAACATTGCAAGTCAAGCCCTCAGATTCTGCTTAGTGTTTGAAGTACAGGGCCATTGCATTACACGATGCTGGAACCAATTTTAAAATAAACGTATGTCTGCCTTCAGTTGTTCTGGGGACAGGATCAGATTTTTTCTCTCTCTCTTCCTATGGATGAGAGCCTCGTTTGACTTAAAGTTGTATCAAGGAAGAGGGGGAGACCCTTCTGACATTATGCCTTTGGAAGAAAGATTATTGGACATGGATGGATCTATTGGTAATGGGATCCTATAGTAATGGGTGCAGATAGTGCACCTTGCCACTTAAACAGGTGCTTCTTGGAGCAACTGATGGATCTCTAATCCTCCTCTCTTTCTCCCATTCATTCTTCAAAGGGGACGCTACAGAAATTTGTGGATGATGCCTTCCAGGCTGTGCTGAGTGTTAACCGCCCAGTACCCATTGCTGTCAAGTATCTGTTTGACTTATTGGATGAGCTGGCGGCACGGCACGGGGTCACTGAGCCAGAGACTCTGCACATCTGGAAAACCAACAGGTGGGATGATGAATAAGGCAGCCTCAAAGAGAAATGGATGGTGATGGTGGTGGGGTTGAGCTGAGACTTGGGGTTGGCGGTTGTGGGGACAAAATATTGGTCAATACAAAAGCTATAGCAAGTCACCCAATTTGAAATTGTTTTCTCTCCCACCCGCTCCTAGTCTGCTGCTACGCTTCTGGGTAAACACACTTAAGAACCCACAGTTCATCTTTGACGTGCGTGTCTCTGACAACGTGGATGCCAACCTGAGTGTCATTGCTCAGACTTTCATTGATGCTTGCACAACTGCAGAGCACAAAGTTGGTAGGGTAAGTCTCTATCGGTGTGCATGTCAGATACTGGGTTAAGGGCTTATGTGTATGTGTCAGTCCCCCAGGCTTTGAGGTCCCATAATTTAGTGGTGTGGCGTGTGCTCAGTCTCTGTGATCTCTAGGCAGGGCATGGAAAGACTTCTGTCTGAAGCCCTGGAGAGCCATTGCTGCCAATGTATGAGTGGATCATATTGAACTGGTTGATTAGGCTGATCATGACCCATCACCATAAAACAAGGCAGTGGGACGCTTCCTGTGTCTTAAAATAGGATCTTCTAGCAATTTGATTCTCATATTAACCTTGTTACCATCATCAAAGCTTAATCCTACTGTGAGGTAAAATCGAACATGGAATTTTGGATGCCTTTCAGGGCAATAACATTGAAGATGGGCAGAATCCCTAGGCCACAGTCTACTCAGAAGTTCTCTCTTGCCCCCTCTGATTCACTTCAGTGTGGATTATGCAGGGAAATCTTTCCCTAGGGATTGAGTCCTTTGTTCAGTAGCCAGGCCGATTTCCTAGCTGTTTCACCAAAATATCTTTGCCTAGTTCAAGGTTTAAACCATCAGTTTAGCAATCTAACATAATAACCAAGGAACAAGGATTAAACAGATGTCCCCTACCAAAGAGGCTTGAAACAAACTGTTTACAGAGCAGCTTAATAGAATAACTCAGTCGCTCAGGGAACAGAACGGGAAAACCCATTCTACTCTTTGCTGACCAGCATCTTTCTTTAATAGAATAACTCAATCGCTCAGGGAACAGAACATTCTACTCTTTGCTGACCAGCATCTTTCAGAAGAGAAAAATAGTTACCCATACATCAGAACTTTCTTATTTTTTCTTATTGAACATAATCTGAAATTGTGAAGATCTTTGTGTAGAATTTTAAAAAAAATGTCCAAGCATCTCTTTGTGTTCTACTACCATAATCTGAGAATTTTGGGACCTTCCTTTCTGTTTTTGAAGGGTGAAAAGAAAGGAAACTCTGTGCATGTCTGTTGACATTATTTATACACACACTTTTTAAAAAGTAGGTTTTAGCTTGAGACATGGCTCAATCGAAGCCCCACTTTGTTAGTCCGGTTGCTATTCTCATGGCAACTTAACTGCAATGGAAACATGTGTCTATTTGCTCATGCGCCATCCTTCACTAAAAGGTATCAGCATGCTAAACCATAAACAATGTGATTAAAACTTTAAAATATAATATGGACAGTATTTAATCATAAAACAGATTGACCGAAAGTACACTTGCAAGCTCAGTCTTTCAGTGTTTGTGAAAAATCCTCCCATAGGGGATTTTGTAAGTTGATTTGGTTCCTTGTATTGGGAAGGTTAGAAATGGAACAGAATATATGGATCAGTTGATCAATAAAGTTTTTACTTCCTGCAGAAAAGTCTCATCAACTCTGCAGCATGTCAAACATTAAACAGTGGCTGAAATCCTATTGTCCATCTCTGCATGTGTAACTTTAAATTACACGGGTAGTAAGGGAAATCCTGCCAAGGCAGAAATGATACTCAAGATGGAGATTCTGCAGGTGTGCAGCACAGTCGGTCTGCAATGCAGACTGCTCAGGTATAATGCCCTGCACAGCTCTGCAGGTATAACTTTATACATCATGCCAACTTCAACAGGATTTTAGCAAGTGTTCTGCATTCAGTAAACATACAAGCACCTTTGGGATGTTTTTCTTTCTCTTCTTTAAAATTAAAGGTTCCAGGCTTCTTTGTTCTGTTGCCCTCTCCTTGGCTGCTACCTGAGTTGCATGCAAATGACTAGTCCATTGGAAAAACGGTGTTTGCTGGATGCCTTTTGAATAAATCACTGTACTTTGATTTGCCCATGGAGCCCAAAAGCTTTAGAAGTGTGCCTAGGCTGACACCCTGCAACACTGGGGGCAACTGACTTTTTTCTTCTCCTTGTACTGATGATGATCTTTCAGTCCCAGGTTACAACATGTTGAACTGGTCAGACCGGACCAAGCAACCTGCTGTTGCTTCCTTTCAGGTCTGGCAGTTCTCCCACACTTTTTTCTTTTCTGGTCTAGGAGTTCCTCTCATGATGCGATCTCTTCTGGAGATATGGGCAGGTTTGGTTTTGCTCTTTAATAAGGGGTTTGGTGCAGCCTCTTCTGAGCCCCTCTTTTCCGGCTTCCAGTGTTACGCCTGGAGTCACTTTTCAGGAGTGTCTTCCTGAGATGCAGTTCCTGAACTTGTCTTTTGTCAAGGTGATGAGTGCTAAAGGAGTTCTCAGCTAAGGGGCTGGGAGGGACGATGGAAAGTTCCTCATCATCACACGGGTTCCCTGAGGGGGAGGCCCTGATGTCTGAATCAGACAATCAGCACTGTCTGTTGGATGAGTGATGCCTTTTACCCCTTAAGCCAACTTTGTAGGGGAAAAAATACGACAGAGCATTCTTTGTTTTCCCTGTATTTTCCAGTTTATTTGATTGAACCCTTCTGTACTGTTGTTTTATTTCAAAAATCCTAAAGCAATTTACAATATTGGAATAGTTGCTGATTTGTTATTTTCATTTGTTTGCTGTTCTGTCCACGGACACCCAGAATGGTGTAGAACATGGTTTAAAACAACATAGTACGTTGTTTGTTTGTTTGTTTGTTTGTTTGATTGATTGATTGATTGATTGATTGATTGATTGATTGATTGATTGATTGATTGATAGGCTGCCTTTTTCCCAATAAGGGAACCCAAGGCGGCTCATAATATTAAAAGAATAGAATTAAAAACATAATACAGTAAGTTAAAGCGTTAAAAAAAGCAATTAAACAATACATAAATTAAAATACAATTGAATAATTAAAAGCAGGCAAACTTTAGAAACTATCTTCACTTAAAAGTGGCATTCAGGGCCTCAATTATAATTGTTAAAAGCCTGCTTGTAAAGATGGGTTCTTCAACTGTCAGTGAAAGGACGAAAGGGAGGGGAACAGCCTTATCTCCCAAGGGAGAGCATTCCATATGTTAAAGCATATAATAGATGTAACAGTCTTTAAAAACTCAGGAAGTGCATCACCACTAAGTGGTGGAAATCCAGCTAAAAGAGAAGCCAAAACAATTCTGCCTTACATCCCCTGCAAAGATGTCATATTCTGCAGGGACTCTGGAAGGATGGTTCAGAACACAGAGGTGACAACATCAAGGAATGTCTTCCTGCTACATCCAGGTTGGACAGCTTTGATAGTTGGTACCTTCAAAAGGCCAGTGTTGGACAACTTGTATGTGTAGACGCAGGAGCTTGTATGTGTAGACGCAGTCCAGTAGGTATGCAGCCCCAGCTGTGTAGGTCTTTAAAGGTAATAGCCAGTACCTTGAATTGAACTTGGAATACCTCTGGCCGCTAGTGTAGCTGCACAGGATAGCTGTTGTGTGGTTGTGGCAAAAGGCATCTCTTCGTAGCTTTGCCACCCCCTAGTGTACCAATGGAAATGTCTGAGAGGTCTTCAAGGGCAGCCTCATATAGAGCAAATTGCCATAGTCTGGGTTACAGCAGCATGGCTCAGTGTAGTCACATCAGTCCTCTCCACATCAGAGGTTATTTCCAAACAAAGCACAAGTAATAAAAAGCTGACCTGGCCAGCATTTTTTTTCTAGAGGTGGACAGGGTCTAATAAAATACCTGAGCCTCCTTACCTGGTGTGCAAGGGGAATCTCTAGCCCATCGGCCACCTAAGAAGTGGCAGCTAGATTTGGTGATTGCCGTGTGACCAGCACCACTTCTGTCTTGTCTTGATTCAGCCTCCGTTTGTTGACCTTCAGCCATTTGACTACAGTCTCCAGACAGTGTCTAAGGACTGTCACAGTTATCTCTAGTTGCTTAGTTAATGAAAGCTATAGCCAGGTGTCAGAGAATTGATGGCACGCAACTCCAGAGGTACCGATGATCTCCGACACTGGTGTGAAAACCAAACCTTGAGGAACTCCACAAACCAATTCTGGGGCAGGGGATGGTGATAAACAGTCCCTGCCGTTACCTTCTGGGTCTTTTTGCAGAATGAGATGAAAACCATGGAATAACTGATTTGGCTAATCTTTCTCGTCTAATCCAAGCAGCAAAGGCCATGAAATACAACAAAGTCAAGTAATAAAACAACAAGGCAGCAATAAAACATTTCATGAAAATCACTAAACTGACCAGGGGTAACTAGGCAGATTGGTAATCAGGAAAATACTTGGGCAAGCAAATAGGTAACTGGCAGTGGAAACATCATGCATTGGGAGCCTGCCTGATTTCAGAGGGGAAACCTGATCTCACATGGTTTTGATCATGAAGCATATGTTAGTTAGAAATTATTCTGGATCTGAACTGAGGTCATGTGGGTCTGTTCCATTCTGCACAAACAGTGGTTAAGAGCACAAGAATGGCGTGGCTGGAACAGACTGAGCTCCCTCAGGGAACTACTGTTCTGTTTCCAGTGCCAGTTCTGTCCCCAACAAGGGGAAACCTGTTCTCGCATGGTTTTGATCATGAAGCATATGTTAGTTAGAAATTATTCTGGATCTGAACTGAGGTCATGTGGGTCTGTTCCATTCTGCACAAACAGTGGTTAAGAGCACAAGAATGGCGTGGCTGGAACAGACTGAGCTCCCTCAGGGAACTACTGTTCTGTTTCCAGTGCCAGTTCTGTCCCCAACACCTTTGAGAAGCTCAGAACCAGTGGGTCAAAAAGATGGTTCTCCTGGTGTGTTCTCAAATGCCAGTGACGCAGATGTATATTGCCCCTGTGATTCTGCTAATTATCACCACTAATAGTCATTGCCAGGTTTAAGTCCTCTTGGAAATGGTCTATAGCTACTGTATATCAAAAATTTTCTGAAGTGAGTTGTTTATTCCTGTGTCTTGTCTTCCATAGGTTATTCCTTGTTGGATGGGGAAGTCTTTTCTATGTTGACAAACAAAAAGACTTCCTTGTTCAGCAAAGAATAACCTGCTTCATTTGTTTACACCACTTGAGTCATTCAGACTAGCAGGTGCTCTTTTCCCTAAAGGCATTTGTGAAATGCCTTTACCTGCTCAAAGGCAGGGAGAACTTGCCAGGTTGGGCAACCAGTGTATTTACTCATCATAGCTGAGCCTTTTGTTCTGACTAGGGTAAGCTGCCTGGTATTTGTTTCTAGATGGATTTAGGCAACATGAGGCACAGGCCTCTGTCCTGCGCAAAAACTGACCTTCCCTTGTTTCTTTCATCAGTAAAGGACTAAATCTGTGGCTATGAGCAGGCTTCAGATTACAAAAAAGAACTTTTGCAACCGAACACTCCTCCGTACAAAACAATAGCAAAATCCTGCACAAAGAGAGCTGGTGTGTCAGGAGAAACGCTACACTAAAATCCTTCTCCTTGAGATCATCTGCTCTTGTACACTTTTTTTAAGGTTTAAAAAATAAAAATTGGTACAGAGATCAGTTCTGTCACACGAGCCCCACCTGCAGTTGGAAGTGGTATTGTCCAGGCACAAATGTATTGCTTCAGTGAGAACTAGGCTTCAGTTAAGCCTCCTCCATGTCTCTTTTTGGTTCTTTTTCTACCAGAATAGTCATGGCAAGAAACCAATTGCCTTGGATGCTCAAGACAACCAGTTTCTTGACCGTATTGAATACTTCTATGCCCATTAAATAATGTCGTTGATAGGTAGTGGTGCGGGGGAGAGAAAACCTGATGGATATTTAAAGGATAAGTCAGTAAAATAATTAATGTTGGGTGCGATCAGACGGGCACTTAGGCCACTGTTTGATCCACTGTGGGGATGAGTGGATTTGTTTCTTTTTCCAGCGATTACACTACAAGCGCTGAAGCGAACCAAACTGTCCACAGAGTGTTCCTACCCTCACATTTCCAAGTCCCTTTCAGAGGCTTCAGCTTTTTTGATGTGGGTAGGATTGCTCTGTTTTGGTTTGTTTCCAGCATGTGTGATCCCTTGAAATGGACCAAAAGTGAGCTTTCTAGCTAGCAGTCAAGGCTCCTTTCAGTTGGAATTTCCAATACAGTACTGTGAAGTGGCTTAATGTGCACCCCTTCAGGATACTGGCAAAATGAACTCTTCCCCTGCTCCTCCATGGAGGAGCAAGGGAAGTGAAATTTATTTTTAGACAGTAGTAGACCACTACTTATTAAAAAAAAATTAAAAAAAACATTATTTACCATGACTGATGGGCCAGTTGAGAAATCCACAGATTCAGCTTTGGTCAGTTTTTTTACTGGCCCATCAGACAAGGCAAATGGGGGGAATTAAATTGTGCAGCACATCAGCAATGGCCTACCACTTTTTTTTAAAAAAAATCACTTCCCCTGCTGCCCTGCTGAGGAGCAGAGGAAGTGTTCAATTTGCTGATATGCTGAAGTGGCTTCCTTATTAAGCCACTTCACAGTATCAGAAATTCCAACTGGAATGAGCCAGATCAAATAGGATCACTTGAGCACTGATGTGCCATTTAGGTGCAGGGATTGCACCAAATGGCATATCATATTTCTAACCAATCCCAAGTGGTCCTATTTGGCCTGCAGCAGCCCTCTTCAAAAGAACCTGTGTATGCAAGCCTTTTGTTAAAACGGATCAGGGTGATAAGGTTCCAGCCTCATCCCTGGATTTCATGCCCTCTGAATTACATGCTATATATCTTGATTCCGAATGTGGAACCACACAAAGGATCTGTGTGTTAAGATGAACTCCCCCCCCCACCTTATTACTTTCTATTAATTACTGTATATAAAATCTTACATTTGGAACAGACCATAGAACATAAGCTCTTGCTCACATTACATTCAGATAGTTTAATAAATGTTATTATGTCCACTTCTAATTATTCAGTTCTTAAAACTAAGCAAGCAACCTACCTACCTATCTACCTCTCCCCCCGGATCAGCAACCCTTGCCCCCCCAAAATCCAAAGCAGTATATATCATTTTTCAAAAAAATAACTATTCTATTCTTTAAAATCTTAAGAAGTAAATAGAAATATTTATTTTTTTAAATCAAAGTAATTGTGAAGGGTATGAATGTTCACACTTTGAATGATTCCAGTTTTATCAACTGCAACCACGATGATTCCACTTTTGTTGAATGCAAGGAAGCCTTGGAAATGAATTCTAAAGACCAAGAGAAAAGTTCCACAGTGCCAGAGCTACTGTAGAAAAAGGCTGTGCTTTGCATAACAACAAATCTCCTGTGTCCTACCTCAAGCTATTTTTAGAATAGGACTGTCCATAATGTTTATTTTTTTCCTTTGTATCCTGTCCTTTCTCCAAGAAAGGTGGAGGCAGGATTTATCCCATTTATTAAGAAAACTCCTGCAGTTACTCTGTTAAATAGCTTCATGTTCAACAATTTGACTTTGAATCCACATGTGGAGATGCCCAGATCCACCTGGGGAGCAAATCCAAAGTGGCACCTGCAAACTCTTGGCTTTCAGGCTTGACAATTAAATCAACAGTCCTCATACCATACCAAGTCACAGAGGTAGAATGTCTGAGTTTTATTGTGTTTGTGTATCTTTTTTTTCTTCCAAAAAACATTTTTGATCATTCCGTCGTTACATTTATTTGCTTTTTCTCTCTTAGGATTCACCGGTCAACAAACTGCTCTATGCCAGGGAAATCCCACATTACAAACAGATGGTGGAGAAGTAAGTGTGTGTGTGCGTGTGTGGTTTTTTTTTAAAAGCTAAATAAAAACTGTGGATGAGGAAAACTGCATGTGCTGAAAACAAGAAGCTGAGATGTTTCTTCCCCAACAACTGAAAATCTGGTTCAGCCCCCTAATGTGCTCTCAAAGATTTCAGTTACTGCCCATAAATGTTCAAGCATGTCTTAACAGCCATAATGTCAAGAAACAATTTCTCTTTTTTTAAATGAAAATGCCCTAAAGAAGCTGGCTTCTGCTTTGTAGATCAGAGTCCTGCAAAATCATTATATATGCAAAGTTGCACCTTCCCAACCACATATGTATACTTTAAAACCATTAATTCATAAATAAATGTTCACCCCTCAGTAATTGTGGTCACACATTTTATGCCTAAGTATGTGTCAGAGGAATTGAAAGGGCCACTCTTTTGTTACAATAGGGAAACCTAGGGGTCCACCCCATGTTGATTAACAGTATGCTCCTTTAAAACAATGACACCCGTTCCCCTATACTAGATAAAGAAAGTTTAAGATAGGTGAGCAATTTCCAGAGGTCTGAGGCTGTGTGCAACCCTTTTCTCCAGGCATGGGAGGGCAAAATCTATTCTCTGACTACCTCTACCATCTCTAAAAATATCCCAAATGTGTTGATTTAAAAAAAGTCTGTGCTCCAGAGGACAGGGAGGAATTTCACCACCACCACCCATTTTACACCAGGAGATGTTCCCCCTGCCCCCCAAAAAATATACTTCTAGATTTCAAAAAAGGTTCTCACATGCTTAAAAAGGTGTAAGCCTCCAAAACAGTGGAATTGCCTATCAACCCACTAAATCAGCGGCCCCCCAACCTTGGGCCTCCAGATGTTCCCACTTAATTAAATGGCTTTTTTTTTAAATCACAGAAATTGGTGGCGAGGGGCAGGGTGCTAGGGGTCTGAGGAGGTTACATATGGCCCAAAGCCACATGCTTACTCCTTATTGAAATGTTATGTTCTTTGCTTATTTGGTATAACACGAGACTTGCAACAAAACAACCCTGTGAAGTGCTTCTAATCAGGGTTCCAGCCAACCAAGCCTGCTCCGAAAATGCTCTTTTCTACTCCTGCCACATGCCAAGCTTTCTGTCCTTCCCTTCTCCCAACGGTCTGTCAGCACCTTGCAACTTTCAGCGTGTTCTGTCTCCATTAGCTGCTTTTGGATTCTCATCCTTTAGGGGTTTTTTTTCTGACTTATGGTGAACCCTTCCAGGATTTTCTAGGTATAGAATACCCAGAGGTGCTTTACCGTTCCCTTCTTCTGGGGGCATCCTGGGACTGTGCAGCTTGCCCAAGGCCACACAGGCTGGTTCTACTTCAAAGGAGGCACAGTGGGGAATCAAACGCCCAGCCTCTGACCTCTGACCCCGCAGCCAAATACACAACTCACTGACCCATCCGTCCTAAAATATTGGGCCCAGAAGGTGAAATATAGATTTTCTGAAGAAGATAACTAGCAGATTTGGTCTCCTCCCGTGTTGGCACCTTCTGGAATGGCTGGCCACTAACTCCTTTCCTTTCTTAATGTAGTTAGCTCTATCAGCCGAGAAGATTTCCTCATTACTGAGTAACTGCCACCACTCACATAGAGCAAGGATTCCCAGGGCTTTCCTTGACTGAGCATTGCGTGAATGAAAGGCGTCTGGTGAGGGGGATATGCTACAACAAAACAATAAGGACAGGATCCCTCCTCTCAGATCTCCGACCTGTTTGTTACCACTCCTACATGTCTGGCTCAGAATTTATGAACATTTTGGCAGTCTTGATTTACTGAGAAATGTTGCTTGTGACAGAAAAAAGAATAGGGAGATTTTTTTTCAAATAATTTACACATATATATTTTACCACTCTCAGAGCACAAACTCAGATTGCATCTTTTAAAAAATTAAGATTGCATTTCAGAGCCTAAAGATGCTTTAAGGGGAAAATGGTTGTGAGTACATGTGTAGTCCTGGGTGCTATCTTGTCTGGCCCTTATTTTTCATTCCTCCGTCTAAGCTGTTGCTAATCTTTCTTTTCTCTCCACCACTCTCTGCTTTTTGTGACCAGGTATTATGCTGATATTCGACAAACTGTTCCTGCCAGCTACCAAGAGATGAATTCAGCCCTGACAGAACTCTCTGGGGTAAGGCAATGCCTCTCTCTCTCTCTCTCTCTCTCTCTCTCTCTCTCTCACTCACTCACACACACACACACACACACAAACACACACACACACCAAATGAGTTGACCTTTTCATTGGAATTTCCATACATTCAGCATTTCTAACGATGTCTAGGCTGTGATGCAATCAGTCCTGCGGGGCGTGTGGATTCAAAACAATGAATTGAACAAGGGCTGCTTTTACAAGGATTTGTGTGCCACATGCCAGTCTTCTGAAACTTAGAGCTTATTCTCCAGTCCAGTAGGCTGTTAGAAAAGGGCTTGAAAACCCTGGGCATATTGGTGTAAAATTCGACCTTTAATTTATGTTAGTGGCTGAAATCTGTTGTGCCTTTATGCTAGTGATGTTAACTTTTAGCTGCAAATTACCATTTGTTAAAGAAATATTCGTAGACATTATTTGTTGCATACTGAATTGTGTGGCTCTGTGTGCAACAGATATTGGTGCCAGTTTCTTAACTTTAGGCACTTGGTGTCTAAATGTTATGCCCTTTACATATCTGCACAATAGCACTTCAGCCAGTGTTTACTAAAAGCTGTATCCTGGGTATTGCTGTGAACGTGTCCCTTTCATTGCCGACTCAGGGCCAGGGTTTTCCTGAAGCCAGCCTCTACCCATGTAAGTAGTTCTGGAGTTAACACAGGTTCCCTTCATCTTGTGTTTTTTTAAAAAATGAAAGAATTAATCATAACTTCTCTATATTGCTTTTCTGTGTAACATTTTATGTAATTTATTTATTTTATTTATATTCAACCTTTCTTCCAGCATTGGGACTCAAGGCAGCTTACAAAACTATTTAAAGCAATGGAAAACTTAACATACAATTAAAAACTGACATTTAAAATAATATTAGATTATTAAATGCTATTAAAACACTTTAAAATCATTTGATTAGAAATACTAGTTTGCCTTAAAAAAGTGAATTGGATAAGATCTTATGATTTGAGGGTGTTAATCGCTGAAGGCCCATATACTGTATGTGTCGTTCCTTATTTCAGTAATCTTACACCAACTGTTTAATTACCATCTTTTACCAAAATATCCATCATGAACTGATGACAGGGTCATGTGTTGAGGCTGACACTTATATCCTTGTGGGAATCTCAGCAGTGAGGCCTGGAAATACAGCAACAGTATCTCCACTAGCAATGGCACACTTTTCTCCAGAAGCAATTATGTGTATCCCATTCACTTCAATAGGAGGAATTTAAAGGGTAGCAGTCATTAATGCTGTTTGCATTGGAAGCTAAACCAGCTATTAATTTTTATTGATTGATTTAATTTATACCCCACCCATCCAGACCGAAGTCTACTCTGGGTGGCTAACAACAGTACAAATAATGACAATATAAAATAGCACAACAACAATAATACAACAAGAGATGGCAGTGGATAAAGTTAGGTATTGACAGGAAGGAAGGCCTGCCTAAAGAGTCAGGTCTTGAGTTTGCTCTTAAAAACACCCAGCGAGGGGACCAGACGAATTTCCAGAGGGAGACTGTTCCAAAGGTGAGGAGCCACTGCTGAGAAGGCCGAATTTCTCCCTCAGCCTTAGGCCCCTCAGCCACCCACCCTGGCTAAAGTGAGTGATTCAAGTAGATCTAGGTGGGAGAAGGCATTTCACTAGATATTGAGGTCCTAAACCGTTCAGGGCTTTATATGTCATCATTAACACTTTGAAATCAATGCAGAAACAGAAAGAGCTACTTATTAAGAGCTGCTGGTGGTCATATAGAGACTTTTAAGAATCTGCAATGAGGCAAATTGAGGTTTAGGAAAGCATGTTATTGTGCTAGCTAGCAGAGACAGTCAAATACACACAACAAGCTGTTTAAGGAGCATCCAAAGACACAAAAGGCACAGAAGTAATATCTAGAAAATACATGCAAAGGGTCATAAAATTAATTTGATTTGTATTTCTTTGAAAAGCTTTTCCTAGGATATCTCCAACATTCCTTTTGCATCTGTTTGCCTTCCTAAGTGATGTTATTACCCTTCATGAGGTCAAGAAGGAACCTTTTATTGTTTTATGATACCATTTATTATGCATATTTGATCTCTAGGTTTTTAAACAATTGCCACTTCCCATAGTTTACTGGGAGAAACGATACACTAGGCTTTGCTATATGTAAGAAAATACATTAACTATGTATTTATAGAATTGCTAAATTCCAATGTATATGGTTATATTTAGAAGTTACTAAGTGGTACTTGATGTATACAATAGGTGTGTCTACACCATTCATAAATGGGACGTGCTTAGAACCTGAAGAAGTGGATTTCATGCATGAAAGCTTACTGTTTGCTTAATTTCTTAGTAGTCCAATAAAAGGTATCATCTACTCTTGCATTTGTGTAATCTTCAGGACCACACCGGCCCTTTCTTTGTTTTTTGGTTTTTTCTGGTCTAATTGTTACTGAGAAAACTGTTTGCTTAATTACTTAGTAGTCCAATAAAAGGTATCATCTTTGTGTAATCTTCAGGACCGCAGCGGCCCTTTCTTTGTTTTTTCTGGTCTAATTGTTACTGAGAAAGTTAAACCTCTTCCTGCATACAGGCAGGGGATCAAATAATCAAATGTTACTCTTTGTCTTAACAAAAGCAAAACAACTTCATACAGAAATCTAGTCTGACTGAGAGTTTACTAGGCTTGAATGCTTCTTTCTGGCTTGACTCCATGGTGGTTTCCCATTGGGAGCAGGAGTGGGTGAAGGATTATGGGAATTTCAGTCTAACATCTCAAGGACCACAGTTGCTCTTTTCCAAGATAAAATGTCAGGGGTGCTGGAGAGGGAGGAAGAAGGGAAGACATTGTTTTCCTCCAACCGTTAACCGATTAAGGTTACAGCTCCATGAGTACCTAGGTTTAAGACCCTGTAGACGTGAACAGGATTGTTCTATGATAAGTCTTCATTAGCTGTAACAATGGAAGAGCGCTTACCACTACAAGATTAAAAAATATATATAACATTTCCAGCCTGTAAGTGAGCAGTACTGTTTTGAAGATCAACTATAAATTCACGGTCTATGCAAGCCTTCATGTTCCACAGATGAAAATATGTTAAAAATGAACTAAAATACTGAAATAAAAAGTTGTGCTTTGAGCTCAAAAGTAGTGTGTCTTCAGTTCTGCAATTTGTAAAACATATACAAATAATCAGTTAGTTAGAGGATTATGAACATGTGTCAGAAGGCCTGAAAAGCAATTGGCAAGTTTTATGAATTTGGTATGTGCATCATATAATGTATAAATGTATAAAATACAAGGACAATTATATTTTGATTTTAAAAAAAATAAAATTAATATATTTTCCCCCATCATCTTATTTTGACAGAAATATTCCTCTGACCTCAATTGCCTGGTGGCCCTGCAAGAACTTTACAACTACATTAACAAGTACTATGATCAGGTGTGTTGAAAAATTCCTTACTAATTGTAGGGGGCACATAAGACAATGGGGGAAGAATTAAGCGAACAGCTGTAGGAGAAGGGTGAAGGTTTAGTCCTCTGTTGTAACCCATTCACTTTTTAGAGACTGACTGCTGGGGTGGGAAGACATGGAGAGGGACATGACAACATTTTCTGCATACGGCAGGCACCAGTTGAGTGTTATGTTCGTTTTGTGTGCCTTTTTTTAACAGATAATCAGTGCCCTAGAAGAGGACCCACTGGGCCAGAAGATGCAACTAGCATATCGACTGCAGCAAATCGCGGCTCTTGTAGAGAACAAAGTGACTGACTTGTGACATTCCTCGATCTGCTACCTGCCCAGACTCAACACGATTTAACTGTGCAATCCTAAATGTGTTTACTCAGAAGTAAATCCTATTGAGTTCCACGAGGCTCATTTCCCAATTCACTGCATTCTGCAGCTGCTCCCTAAGGAGGCCAGGTTGCTCCATTCATCAAGTTCCCTACTCTCCATTGTTTTGTGCTGGTGCGCACACATCATCCCACTCCCAGTGCCTTAACTGCATAGATGCTGCCGAGCTTTCTCGCACTCAGTGCACTCTCTCTCTCTCTCCTTTCCTCCCTTCCTCCTGCTCTTCCTCTCTCTCCCCCTTCCCCACTTCTCGCTCTCTCTTTTCTTAAAAAAAACTGGCTGCAAAGGGAATCCTCCAGTCTGATACACTGGCTTTGTAAATAAAAAGGTGTATTTATTTCTGTCGCTGTTTGAGGAGAGTGCCAGTTACAGCCTCCCACCTTTGGCGGGGAGTGGGGTAAAGGCAGCTCCTTCCTGATTACTGCATCATCTGAGATTTGGGGATTTATCTCTTCCACCCCAAAGATCTTGACCAATAATGCACTAATACTGGGGTGGTCACACCACCTTTCAGCTTCTCTGGTACAAATGGACTCTTAACTAGTCTCTCTTTTAACCCTCCCCATCTATTCCCCCCTCCCAATTTTATGTATATATGGGAGCTTTGTGCTCCAGGATTGTATTTATTTTACTGAACTTTTGAAGAATTAAAAAAAAAACAGTTTTCAGAAAAATACAGTTGTCAGACTTACTCATGGAACTGAAGAGAACAGAGGAAGAAGAAGGGAGGAAAGGCTGCACTTCAGCAAGGTGACTTCTGCTTTCTAGTTAAATGCTGGCATTGCTAAGAAGGGGGAATTGGTGAAGACAAATAAATGAGTGGTCTCAGAGTTAAGGTAGGATGGTTTCAAGTAAGTGAGGCTTTGTTTGACCCATATCCCTCTGTACTTCTGACTACATTCAGAGCTGATTCTGCCTTGAACCTGCCATGTAGCTCCAACTTCAGTTTATAGGTATAGTATATGCTGATTATTTTAATGCACAAAGTTACCGATGTTCCTTTACATGTTTTTAGATCACAGTGTCTGTGGTCCCTTACCGTGGCCCTATATTGTCTAGGACTGATGGGAGTTGTGCTCTGACAAGATCTGGAGGGTCAAACATGTATATCAGCGGTGGAAGCTTGTCAGGATTTCATTTGACCAAAGGTGTGGGCCTGTCTCCATTAGTACAAGGGTTTTTCCAAGATAGATGGGCTTGGGCAGAAGAATTGCTTAAAGGCATTGTCTTCTCTTAGTGGGCTCATAAAAGCTAAGTAGCAGTGCTCCAGGTGGGACTATCCCAAGACATTTTGCTGCCTGAGACAGAGCAGCAAATAGCATTGGCCACCACCACCCATACTGTATGCCCTACATAAATTCAGCCAAATTCTTTTGGTACCTGGGGTAGAAAATCCCATTGGCACTTTTCCTCTTTCCTGGCAATAAAAATACAATAATAATTAACAAATAACAATTTGCTGTCCTTTCACGATACCCAAAATCTGCTACCTGCAGTGGCTGTTTCACCTCCACTGAATGATGTACAGTGGTGCCCTGCTTAATGATTACCCCGCTCCACGACAAATCCGCTTAACAATGAGGTTTTTGCGATTGCTTTCCTGCAGGCTGCATTATCAGGTGTTTTTTTTTTTCCATTTGAGACTACTGGGTTGAAGAGATGCCAGACATCTGTAATACTGTGACTGTATGAAAGGGATTTGAAGAGCACAGTGCTTAGCTCTGTCCTTGGCCAGCAGCTTATTTTTTTGAAGGGAGTGATATTCCTTGAAATATGTTAACAAGACATCACTTGCTTGGCTTCAGATTAGCAACAGCACACAGCATTCATCATATGAGCCACCTTTGGCCCTGGTTCATTTAATTGCTGATATCCACATCCTGGATCAGAGGTTAGCAGCCCTCCAGATACTGCCGTACAGGAACTCTAAGCAGTTTTAGCCAGCATAACCAATGGTGAAGTGAGGGGTACTGGGAGATGCAGTCTAACAGATCTGAAGTGCCACACATTCCCCACCTCAGCCTTACACCTTTACTCTTTTGGTCTGACTCCTACAGCATGACTCTGGTTGCTTCAGTTTCATCAGTCAGGCTTCAGCAAATGCATTCTGCTTTGCTTTAACAGCTGAAAAGTCACTGGCAGTGTGGTAGATCTGGTTAAGTTTCGTAATGCAACCTGTTATTAATGATATGAATGGCCATTTGCAATTAATTGCTTTGAAATGCTGGTACGGGTAGAAAGAAAAGTGAGAAATCTAAAAATAACCGTGTGTGTGTGTGTGTGTGTTTAGATTTATATATGGTTGGCATTTTTTAAGGATAAATATTCAGAAAGCTCTTATTATAAATGTTTCAGGGGCTCAAGACATATAGTTTCAACACAAAAAATTCTGCAAATAACTTAACTGTTTTATTGTGTGCATTTATCCAGACACAAAACATATACTGTACACACTTGCTCACCTACAGAGAGGCCTGGAGAGAGGGGAGGGAGAAATAATACACTGCTTCCACTTTTTTCTCAGATGAAGAAAAAAGCGGAAGCACTAAAGTTGAAGGAAGCAAAGGCTAGTTCATGAGGTGAACACCGATCAGGAAAGCCAAAGCTTCGGCCCTTGCTGGACTACAGCGCCCACCAGCTTTATGCAAAACAGCTAATGGATGAGAATGATGGGAGTTGTGGTACCCGAAACACCCATTTTGCTCACCCTTGCTCTAAGTAAACCTCCAGGCTCTCCCCACAGTGTAACCTGTGGCAACCAAGGTTGGTGAAAGAGCAAACGGTGTCCCCTTCACGCAGTGAAGCCAAGGTGCCTAATACTCAAACCCAGACAAGATATGCTGGCATAGAAAACAGAAAAGCTTCAGAAGCACCATATCCCATCTTCAGCGCAAAGATGCAAATAAAACAACTGGCTCCTTACTCATGATGACGCCTAAAATCTGATACCGGTAACTGCCTTAAGGCAGGCAGGGCTGTCCCTCTCAGTTACTTTACAAAGCGATGGGGAGGGAGGTCTTCAAAGTACAACATGCATTAAGTGGTTTGAGCGTGTAAAAGTAGAGATATATTAGGCTATCTAGTGCAATATCCTATGCAAAACAATAGGCTCTCTATCTCTCTCAACAAGACCTGGAGATAATTATGGCTCTGATCATCAGCTTCATACAGCAAAACTCAAGCTTAAACTGAAGAAAGTAGGAAAAACCACTGGCCTAATCAGGTATAAGCTAAACCAAATCCCAGTGCAAAGAAATAGAGGAAAATAATAGAAGGGGAAAAACCAGAGATCTGTTCAAGAAAACTGGAGATATTAAAGGAACATTTTGTGCAAAGATGGACATGATAAAGACAAAAATGGTAGGCACCTCACAGAAACAGAAGACATCAAGAAGAAGTGGCAAGAATACACAGAGGAATTATACCAGAAAGATTTGGGCCCTGACAACCCAGATAGTGAGTTTCCTGAGCTTCAGCCAGACATCCTGGAGAGTGAAGTCAAGTGGGCTTTAGAAAGCATGGCTAACAACAAGGCCAGTGGAGGTGATGGCATTCCAGCTGAACTATTTAAAAGCACAAAAAATGGTCTGAAGCTCAACATCAAAAATACTAAAATCATGGCCACTGATCCCATCACCTCCTGGCAAATAGAACGGGAAGATATGGAGGCAGTGACAAATTTTACTTTCCTGGGCTCCATGATCACTGCAGATGGTGACAGCAGCCACGAAATTAAAAGACACCTGCTTCTTGGGAGGAAAGCAATGACAAACCTTGACAGCATCTTAAAAAGCAGAGACATCACTTTGCTGACAAAGGTCTGCATAGTCAAAGCTATGGTTTTTTCCAGTAGCGATGTATGGAAGTGAGAGCTGGACAATAAAGAAGGCTGACCGCCAAAGAATTGATGCCTTTGAATTGTGGTGCTGGGGAAGGCTCTTCAGAGTCCCCTGGACTGCAAGGAGAACAAACCTATCCATTCTGAAGGAAATCAACCCTCAGTGCTCACTGGAAGGACAGATCCTGAAGCTGAGGATCCAATACTTTGGCCATCTCATGAGAAGAGAAGACTCCCTGGAAAAGACCTTGATTTTGGGAGAGTGTGAAGGCAGGAGGAGAAGGGAACGACCGAGGATGAGATGGTTGGACAGTGTCATCAAAGCTACCCACATGAATTTGACACAACTCTGGGATGCAGTGGAAGACAGGAGGGCCTGGCGCGCTGTGGTCCATGGGGTCACGAAGACTCGGCCACGACTGAACGACTAAACAACAACAAATCTCTCTCATCTTGGTTGGTACAGAAGATGATGAACACTGCGACCCCAGCTCACTTGCACTTTTAAAACAGTGCAGGTTTAATTGTTCGTGACCTGCTCTACGTCAATCCAAATGGCGGCGAGTCCTGTTTTGCTCCCCTCCTCCCGGTCCAGCTCGCTTTTCCTCAAA